TACATATATAAATATATCTCCTTATTTATATATTCCATCATCATCCATTCACGGGTCGAATAGGAAAAAGGCAAGAAAGAGCCACTAGCTGTCAAAACATGTTCTGTGTAACATAAATTAAACCACGTTGTCTTATTATTTTCTACGTCTCTTGTCCTTAAAATGCTGACATTTTGGACTCTCCAGCTTTCCTTCTTTGCAATATCTTATTGATTTCTAAATTTGATTTCAGCATTTTCCGTGAATCCAAACCCATCAAGGCGGTGGCTGAGATGATGATTCTGTCGTTTCTTTCTCATAAAAATTCTTTTTACTATTTACTGTTCATTATCAATTATGACGTGAAATTGGGACATAAAATTAGGCATAGTTTATTTACTCATTTCTCTAAGAGGATATGTTACATATAAACTAGATTTTATATTTAAAACTGAAGGTAGCAACCTTTATAATTGGGTAATTTTTATTTGTCTGTGACTATGTTTTCGTTGTTTTCAAGTTACAAGATTTATTAAACAGAGAAAGTAAAATGTAATATATTAATAGATAAATAAAATTCAAACATCAAATGCAACTAGCTCCCTCATATTATAGTACTCTCTCGGGTTTTTATTATAAGCTTCAAAGACAAATAATAAACAATTAGTTAAATTAGTTAAAAACAATAAATATATTAAAAATATACTTTTATTTTTAAATATGCCCTTATAATAAATGAAAAAAATGATAAAAGAGAATGTATGAAAAAAATGTGATAAGAGAGAAATAATTAAAAACAATATTAAAAAAAAGTATACTAAATATTAAGACAAACCTAAATTGAAGCTAATAAAATGGACCATAATTCTTTTCAAATTTAAAGCTTATAAATAAGACTAGAGGGAGTAACTTATAATTTTGTTTTTGTACTACCTCTCTATAAGATCTCGTTTGCAATCATTATAATTAGGAACGGAAGTAGTACATTGAAAGGTTTTAAACCCCCTGACTCATATGTATAATCATAATACTTCACTTCATCCTAACCAACTGAGTTAGCTAATTCATAGTCAAGCACCATCATCATGTCGCACATGGGTGGGACTCTACTAACTTGATCTCTTTCTATTACAAGTGGCAAATATGTTTACATAAATTAAATTTCGGAACTCACCAATGCAAATATATTTGCCTTAAAGTTTAAAGTGCACTTACAAAAATATTTACAATTACACATCTTTAAATATACGAGGTGCATTTTAACCGATAAGATTAATATTTGTTGACTTCTTGCATGGATTTTTTTTTAATAATATAGGGCTCAAATCCAAATCTATATTTAAGAGTTTTTGAATCATTTTCACTCTATATGTGACTGTTTTATATAATTTCTATTAACAAGTTTCACAATTTTAGTTAAACGCAAGGAGTCCATGATGAATGAAAGTAAGTAAGAAAAGCCTACAAACCAGGGATATCAAAAAAGTACATAAATATTGCCACTAATTACTACGAAAAAACATGTACACCGCCCTTAAAAATCTCATGAAAATCCTTGAAGTCAATCAATCATAATAAAAGATGAACTAATTTAATTGCAACTAGCAGCACAGTGAGATTCATAAAAATGACAAGTCTCTATCCGTCCGTGACTCCATTATCCTATATAACTAGGGCGTCACCCTCTAGGGTTTCCAACAGTTCTCACTCACTACTTTCTCTGAAGCAAGCAAATCGGTGAATGATTCAGTTCATCAATGGCGAATCATTCTACTGTATCAAATCTCTTCATCTTGCTCTTGAACTTGAGCTCATTGCTCACTGCTTTTGCTTGCCCATATTGCCCTTACCCTTCTCCAAAATACCACCCTCCTAAAGTAGTCAGGAAGCCTCCTGTTCATCGTCCTCCTCCTCATGGTGGTAGCCCTAATAATAAGCCTTGTCCACCACCGTCTTCTTCCCCTAAACCTCCTCATCACGGCAAGCCGCCCGTCGTTAAACCGCCGTACGGTCCAAAACCACCGCATCATCAGGTCCCAAAACCTCCCATCATCATTACGTTCCAAAACCTCCTCATCATTCTTCGCCGCCGTATGTACCAAGACCACCGGTTGTGAAGCCGCCATATGTCCCAAAACCACCTGTTTACCCACCTTACGTCCCAAAGCCACCGGTTGTGAAGCCACCAAATGTCCCAAAACCACCTGTTTACCCACCTTACGTCCCAAAGCCACCGGTTGTGACCCACCAAATGTCCCAAAACCACCTGTTTCCCCACCTTACGTCCCAAAGCCACCGGTTGTGAAGCCACCAAATGTCCCAAAACCACCTGTTTCCCCACCTTACGTCCCAAAGCCACCGGTTGTGAACCCACCAAATGTCCCAAAACCACCTGTTTCCCCACCTTATGTCCCAAAGCCACCGGTTGTGAACCCACCAAATGTCCCAAAACCACCTGTTTCCCCACCTTATGTCCCAAAGCCACCGGTTGTGAACCCACCAAATGTCCCAAAACCACCTGCTTCCCCACCTTATGTTCCAAAGCCACCATACGTACCTCACCCACCAGTTGTGAAGCCGCCTTCGCCGCCACCATATGTGCCTAACCCGCCGGTTGTGACGCCACCTGTGAAACCACCACCGTATGTACCTCCGATCGTGACACCACCTACACCACCGGTAGTAATAAATCCCCCACCTATAGTTACACCTCCATCTCCGCCATCTCAAACACCATGTCCACCACCACCACCATCATACGTGCCGCCATCACCGCCAGCGCAACCCACTTGCCCTATCGACAGTTTGAAGCTAGGGGCGTGCGTGGATGTGCTTGGAGGTTTGATCCACATCGGAATCGGAGAGAACGCTAAGCAAGCATGTTGCCCTGTGCTTGGAGGGCTTCTGGACTTAGACGCCGCCGTGTGCCTCTGCACCACCATTAGGTTGAAGCTGCTTAATATCAATATCGTCCTTCCCATCGCTCTTCAGATCCTCATTGATTGTGGCAAGGTTCCTCCACAAGGGTTTCAGTGTTTGCCCAACTAGTTAAAAATGTATGTATAATACATATATTAATACCCATCTCATCATATCTATATTTTGTTTTAATTTATTTCCTTTTCTCCCGTTATCAAACTTAAACTTGAGTTATATATAAAGTTATAAGCAAGTAATATATAGTTGGTTTGGCTTTGTTTTGCAGGGATTGGATCGCTTTCACATCAAATAATCGATCGATTTGTCTGAGAGATAGTTGGTGATTGAAGAAACGGACTAGTGTTTTTATTTTTGGTTATTTAAGACGTACATCAAATCGATGTGCAGGAGAAAAAAAGTGTACTTCGTATGAATGAAACATTTGCTTGCGTTTGTCGTAGAATGTTATTTTACTACTGCTCATAAAAAATCCCGGTTCAATGAATTGTGAGAATCATATAAAGATTCTTTTTATATAAAGATGTTTGTCTTTTAGCTTCTCTTGGGGTGTGCGTGGGATTCGGTCAGTGTAAAGTTAAAGTAGTAAACCCGTGAGCGCTTTGGAATTTGGAAATTGCATGAGAACGTGAAATTCACTTTTTCTTTTTTAAATTTCTAATTCTGATATAAATTAAGACCTCAAATCTCAACATATGATCGTCCTGTCTAGTTGGCCAGGAATAATTTTCAAATAAGCTAATCATTTAAAAAGCTAAAAGTCAGTCGCAAAATTATCACTAAATCTATTTTTTAAAATTATCAATTCGAAAAAAAAAATTAGTTTTATATGACAATTTTCAAAAATAATTGTCATGACTTGGGTCGTTCACGAAAAAAAAATATATTTTTCAGTGACCTAGAAATCAATCAAGTTTATTATAAAATAACCTAGAAATATCAATAATCAATGATACTACTGGTCTAATATACAAAAACAAATTTACATGTTATAATTTATTAATATATTCATCAATTTGATGATCAGATTAATAGTTAGCTCCACTATATGATACGCATTCTGGATCTGGAAGAAAGAAAAGTTAACCATGTGTCGTTGCCTCCTTGGTGCATTTTTCTTGCCAACAAATTGAAATGGGCGTTTCCCAATAACTACTATTTCTACAATTCCTAGAACTAGAAGGTACATACAATGTGCACAATGCGAGTATTACGTGTTAGATATTATATAATTGATGCATTTGCACGTAACTAGCTCTAGGAATGTGCACCAAATAAAAACTAAGCAGAGATTTGTGATTGGAATCAATCATATTGATATTAATACAAGTTGGCATAGATGGCCTCCCCAAAAAAAAAAATCAGTATTTATAAAATTTTCGAAAGCTAATTATAATTCATATTCATATATCAATTTTTGTACCAAAGACGTTATTGATAGTTTTTATAGAAAATAATAAAGAGTCTTTTACTATGTAATATGAAAAATAATAGTTTTATGATTTAATTCTTAAAAATATTTATTTATGAATTCATTCTTCTACGTATGAAAGAATATAGGGCTTTTTTAGTTCATTATTTTTAATTAAAAAATATTTTTGGAAAAAACACTCATGAAAAAATTTAACATGTTCGAGTTTTTCTAAATAAAAATATAATTTTTTATTTTTTTTAAAAAATAATTAGTATATGCGAATCAATATTGACGAAAATAAGGAATATATATGGAGATATTATAAAATCTGAAAATTAGTAAACAAGAAATCATTTTTATGATCATAAATAAATGTGAAATGATTTTTAGAATAAATTAATTTTCATAAAATTTCTAAAAAATGAAAAATCATGATTTTTAAGCTAAAAGAACAACCCCATCCTTTGTATTTGTCCGTCTTCTCAGGCGAAAAACGCGTCTTTGCACTTTACTTTAGAAATCATCTATCCATTTTTTGTATGCGCTTTTCCAAATAGTTTGGGCCAACGAAGTTGATTAATGACCCAACCAATCGTAACATGGGCGGTTTGTACCCGAAAAGATAGTGCCTGGCCCAATTTGTTAACCCAACCGATCTTTCTTGGCGAAGAAGAAGCAGCACCTTTTTTGTTCTCGGAGCCATTATTGTCTTCTCCAGTGCGAAGCCAGCTGCGGAGTTTCTTGATTTACCGAGAAGAATATCAGGTAAGATCGTCTTCTTGGCTTACATTTTCTTTGTTTTCCTGGGTTTTCATCTTTTTCTTTCTGTTGATAACGTTGATTGTATAGTTTGCTTCTAAAGACAAATGTGCGAGGATAATTTTCTGTTTCTATTTACTGTTGAAAGCTTTCTGGATGCTGCTTGCTTTTCTATTTTAATTAGGGTCGGTTTGAGAGTAAGGCAATCCCTGTTATCGATCTGATTAATAGAGTATGAAGGGACGCACTTAACGTTTAGTGCAACCGCAGTCGACTATTTTTTCTAATGAAAATTTGGGCATTTTATCTTTGAGGCCCGTTTAGTGGGGAAGTAGCCAAGCACTAGAATTTTAGTGCTTGAGTTATGTGTGTTTTGGTGCAATTGAGTAATCACTTTATGAAACCTAGGCCTTCTTGTTTGGAGAATCTTCTACGGGATTTCATTCTCCTGGTATGTCGAGAGTTTTGTGTTTTCTTTTCCTTTGTGTTAACCTTATTATACATACAAAAGTTCAATTAAAATTGAGTTCATTCTTATCTGGGACTTCTAGGGTTGAAGTCTTAGTTCTGTTGCAGGGCTTAGATTTTGAGGGCTCTGTATCCTATGTTCCTCACAGCCAATAATTCGACTGATAAATTTTAGAAAGTCAGTCGCAAAGCTATTTTTTCTTCAGTATTCTCTTTCAGTCTTTTGTTTCTTTCGGTTATTTTACTAAAGCTTTCAGTCCACAACATCAAACCATTCCATTAGTGCATGCCGAGTGGCAGCCATGAGATTGTGATTTCTCCAGCTTCTCATATCAACTGATTAGATCTCTGAACCAGCCTTTGTACTGTTGTTTATTGAAGGAATTTAGATTATTTAGGAGTTACTTCTGTGTTCAGGGCTGCCAGTGTGTTGAAAAATGGTGCTTTGGAGTTATATTGGGCGGGTGATATAGCTGTTGATAGTTAGCTTAATGTCTAACATTTTTTTTTTTTTCAATTTGTGGGGGTGAAAATGGGGAGGTATTTCTCTTTCTTCCTTTTTCTTTTTAAATCTAAATTTAAAGCTAAGCTTTGAATATAACACCTTGGTTGTTGAGTGTTAGTTATTCCATGGCATGGTCCTGTGTTAAAAGCATCTTGGATTTGGTGGCTCATGGATTGGATTTATGGAAGGAGATGGGTGTTCTGTAGGATAAATTTCTATAAAACACAAGCTTCAATTATTTCTACGTGGGAGCTAGGTAACACCTTTGCGGAGTGATGTGTCCTCTACTTATTATGCCAAGGACAGTCCCTTTTTCATTATTTAAAAAAAAAATCCTTTTTCCATATTGGTGCATTGGGAAATGTTGAGAATTTGAACTTGGGATCTCTGCAAATTTATACTCACCTAGCCACTTAATTCAAGCTCTAGCAATAAAAGACATGCCTGCTTATTTATATCAGATTTTGACAAACTACTGTTAAATCCTATCTTTTTCCAAGAAGCATCTCCTACTTCTGAGTCGCTAGTAGCAAAAAGAAGGCCATTAAGCTTGTGGTTTGAGCCTTTGAGGATGCGAAATTTCTTTCTCTAAGCTAGATATATGAGCGAGAAAATGGCTAGATGTGTCGAACTTTATTATTGAGTCCCTTGGACTCTTGTGTAAAGTGAGGAGCCTCTTTTCAATGGGTGGGAAAATGGCTAAATGGGTCGAACTTTAAGTGCTAGTTTCACTCTATGAAAATTGGTGGCAAGTGGCAGCCATCCAAACTTTAGATCCACCCCATTGTACATGGATCATTAACAGTATTAACTCCTAACCAAGGTAAGTAAGATATTCCTGCTTCCCTTTTTTATTGGTTTATCTTGCCTTATTTATTCTTGAATTGTTCAAACCCAGATTTTGAGGCCCATGACATTACTTGGAAAAAAAAAAGTGGAAAGAAAAATCTGATGGAAATGACTGAAGCTTTGGCTATCGTAAGATCTAATGCTTTCATGGTTCTGAAACAAGGAAAATTTGACATCAAAATTATGTGTAACATAAAATATATCCTGGTGTATATTTATAGTAGCGAAGTCTACTGCAGCGGTCATTGATGCTCACCTAGTAATTATTAGAATTGGTACTGATGTTTTACCCGAAGGGGTGGGGGACTTCCAATATGTATAGACTTGTTTCTTCTTTTTTTTTCATACTGTGTTTTACTTGTTATATTTTGTTAATTTAGTTTATGGTCCCCCCCCCCCCCAAGGGGGGAACCGATGGTATGTCATGAAGAGATCACAATATCTAATGTTAAAGCAGTTTGTTTTACTGATCAATATTTTTAATTTTTAATTTTTGATTTTCAATCCCTATTTTCCTTCCTTTTAGATTTGAATTAATAGTGAGAGATCAATATGTCTCGAAGATATGATAGCCGTACAACAATCTTCTCTCCTGAAGGCCGTCTTTACCAAGTTGAGTATGCAATGGAGGCTATTGGAAATGCAGGTACTGCTATAGGGATCTTATCTAAAGATGGGGTTGTCTTGGTTGGGGAGAAAAAGGTAACATCGAAGCTTCTGCAAACCTCAACATCAACAGAGAAGATGTATAAGATTGATGACCATGTTGCCTGTGCTGTGGCTGGTATAATGTCTGATGCCAACATCTTGATCAACACTGCTAGGGTCCAAGCACAACGCTACACTTATGCTTACCAAGAGCCCATGCCAGTTGAACAGTTGGTTCAATCTCTATGCGATACTAAGCAAGGTTACACGCAATTTGGTGGTCTCAGGCCATTTGGAGTCTCATTCCTATTTGCTGGCTGGGACAAAAATTATGGCTTTCAACTTTACATGAGTGACCCTAGTGGAAATTATGGTGGTTGGAAGGCTGCAGCTATTGGTGCAAATAACCAGGCAGCACAATCAATACTCAAGCAAGATTACAAGGATGATATCTCAAGGGAGGATGCTGTGCAGCTTGCACTCAAAGTTCTTAGTAAAACTATGGACAGCACAAGTTTGACCTCTGAGAAACTTGAACTTGCTGAGGTTTTCCTGTCACCTTCTGGGAAAGTGAAGTACCAAGTTTGCTCGCCTGAGACGCTGACTAAGCTGTTGGTGAAGCATGGGGTCACGCAGCCACCTACAGACACTGCCTAGGTAGTTGGCAGTTCCATAGTTAGCACAGTTTAAATTACTCTCATTAGCCTGGACTTCGGATTACCTATGCCTTTCTGCCTAGTTGACTGGAGAGGATCTGTAAGGGAGAGATTGGAAGGACAGTTGAGCTCATTAGGTCTTTCTCTCCCAGATGGGCCTCACCTCACCTTCTTTATCTCTCTTATTCGGTCCTCCTCTGTCGTAAAGGTCGAAAACACTTTCTGTAATGCGCTTTCGGAAGGTCAAATGCTACTATTCCAAATATGTTTCAGAACTGTAAACTTGTAATTTGTTGGTGATGCTGATGCTGATGCTTTTGGATTTAATGTTTCTCAGAAACTTTTTCGACGCATTTAATCTACTTCATTTGGGTTTACTCATTTATTTGGGTGAGTTCTTAGGATTCAAATGCTCCCATAAGGAAACCTATGGTCCTGTTTGATACAAAGTATTGAGAATTATAGGTAAGGATTAGGATTAGGATTGAAAAAAACCTATTAAAAGAGTATTTAATCTGAGGAATTGTTTGTTATTTGGTATTCTCTAATCCCATTTACTTGGGTTTATTCAATCCTAAGTAGCAAGTAATCATTCATATTAAATACTTTTTTAATAGGTTTTCTCAATCTTAATTCTAATTCTTACTTCTCATTTTTAATGCTTTATATCAAATGGGACCTATGTGTCTTGAAGCTTTTTTTGCTGACAAAATTCTTTTTTTCATTAACATATAGTGTCTATTGTATTTTTTAATTATAACTTAATAAACTTCTTAATTGTTTTTAAAATGCAAATATTAGAAATTATTTTCAAATGGAATAGCAGATCCAAAGGATGTGGGTGTGAGACGACCAACTCTGTTTTTTCGGCAAGCCCAACACTCCAATCCTTTTTATCCAAAGAGGTAACTCATATTGTGGTAGGTAGTTAATAAAAAGTTTTATACTCCTCCGATCCTCAATATAAGACTTATTTAACTAATTTGATTAGATTAAAAAAGTTAACCAAGTTAATTAATTATAGGAAATGTGACACGTTTTTCTTAAAATACCATAATTATCTTTCTTAATACCCCTCTTCTTTTTCTACTTGATTATGGTTGAGGGAGTATCTATAGGGGTAATTTAGAGAAAATTGATAAATATGAGAAATGGTCTTATATTTAGGACTAAAATCAATTAATAATTGGGTCCTATCTTAAGAACCAGAGGAGTACCATATATAGATGCTTTTATATCATGTACAGATTTTTTTTTTAATCTTTTAACGTTGAAGGATTGTATTTCTTTTGGGTCACACTGAAAGTAATGTCAAAATCCATGTACAGCCCATTGATGCTAAAACAGGACCAATGGGTCATTGATCCTTTCCCATTCTACCCCAGCTCTTAATAACAAAGCCATAAAAGAATTGTTTATTTATTTATCAAGGTAATGATACTACTTTTATCCAGTGCTAAAAAAATATAACAGAGAAGACATTGATGATAGGTCTTGGTCAATGGAAAAGAATCTTGGTCAAGAAATAGAAAAGCTTAGCAGCGTGCATAGGGATCTAAAAGCAGAGTGAGTGTCTAGGAAATGGTGAAGGTTAGATTATAAAAGTGTGGAAGAGTGTAATAATGTAGAGCATGTTAATTGTTGTCAGATAAATGGCCATCCTGAGGTTTTGGCGTATTGCTGTGATGCGGCTCATATGGCCTAAGAGTAAAGTGGAAGCATAATTCAGATTGTGTGTCTGCTTCCAACAAAACAAAGCATAATGTGGAGTATTGGATTGGGGCCATGTGAGATGGTATCTATAAGCTTCGCCCAATAGCCTCCAATGTGAGATCATGAAATGCCCACTCTGTTTTGCATTGGGAACCACCCAATCCCCATCTATGACTTCTATTAACAATACAGCACAGAGATCCCTCCCAATTCATAGGCTTCCAAAATTTGGTTTATATTCCTAATGATCTTGTAATCTAGTAATATAAAAACTCTTTTATAAATAGGAGGTCGTGAGTAGTATCCTACTTATAATTTCAGACAGTTAGTACATGTCTTTTTATTGAAAAAAATGGTTCATATTACATTCCATATAAATACAAAGTCTACCATAATTGTGTTTATGGAATCATTTGCCCATCTTATTAAATGGTGGGTTTGTGAGTTAGGTGGGTAGACAAAATGTTAGATGCTCTCAAAGTTTTAACATTTTTCATACCATATTCTATCTGCCTTATAGGTTGATAGGTTTGAGAAGGAGCTGACGTTCATAAATGCTGCAAGTTGGTTTGGTGATTGAAGTGTCATGTGTTTTAAGGACCCATCCTCACTTATCAATCCTCCTCACTCCGCATGACTCATCACTCTTCCCGTTGATCAATCAATTCTTTCGTTCTCACTCTCCCACCGACACCTGCCCTAACATAACGGCTAACGCCTCCCTTAAAACCCGCCAACTTTCCAATAATGAATTATGAAAATCTTGTCCACAGTAAAAAAAATTTTCCCAAACCAAAAAGAGTTAAGTTTAATAAAAAAAACTAGCTTCTCATAATACGACGAATTAAGATTCTAATCTCTATTAAGATGTGTTTAGCATTCAATAGAGCCTTAACTAAGATTATCTCTAATAAGAAGATACTTATACTTAGTAAAAATAAAATTCACCATAAATAGCTTAAATAAGATGCTATCAATATGGCGGAATTGTACTTCTTTTGTAAGCCATTGTTTATCATTTTCCTTACCTATAAAGTATTATAGTTCTCTCTTTTTACAGCCGGAAAAGCTATACGGAATATTCATTTTTCACTGTGTTTGATGAAATTGCTTTTATGATGTCTCTTTTTCAAGGTGATAGATGCCTGTCAGCTTCTCATGAAACGGAAACCAACATATACTTGCTAACAAATCCGTGGACCAATTAGCTAAAGTGTGTTTAATTGTTCATCTTTTTTCTCAAATTGAAACCAAAAGCTCTTGAAAGAAATGAGATAGAAATCCAATCAGCTAAAATGAGTTTAGTTGTCCATCTTTTTTCTCAAAATTGAAACCAAAAGCTCTTAAAAGAAATGAGATAGAAATCCCTCACTCAACCTTAAGAAACGCAAGCAACAAAAGTACTTCCATGTCGTTTTGCAGTCTTCAACCCTGTACTTTGTATTTTCCCTTCTTTCAACTGTCAACCCTCTCTCTTTTTATAGCTTCTCTGACCTCTCCTTATTCTGCAACCACCATCCACATGCTCACATCACATTTCTGATTTCCCTGTCAAATTCTCAAACACTTTTCACCCGCACTTTCCCACTCTGCATTTTCTCTGTTTCATGCTGGTTTTTCTTCTTCTGTAAATGGCTGCCCAACGTCTCTGTTTTTGCTTCTGCTTTTTTCTACCTCTCTTGGTCCTTCTTCCTTCTTCATCACTTCAGCTATCTCCAAAGCTCAATTTCTCAGATCTCAAAGCTCTTATCGCCATCAAGAACTCTCTCACTCCCATTTATAACACCAGACATTCCTTCTTCTCCACCTGGGACTACACCTCACCGGACCCCTGTTCTTCCTTCTCCGGCGTCACTTGCTCTCTCTTACAACCTGCTTCCCTCCGGGTGACCATTCTCTCACTCGGAGACTCACCGGGGCTCGCCGGCTCTCTCCCGGCCGCCATCTCTGGGCTCACCGAGCTCACTCAACTCATCCTCTCCCCCGGCATTGTCACCGGCTCAATCCCCCCCGAGATCGGGAAACTCACGAAACTTCGAGTCATTTCCTTGCCCAGTAATCGCTTCACCGGCAGAATACCCGCCACATTCTCCTCCTTGAACAGCCTCCACACGCTTGACCTGAGTCATAACCAACTCACCGGGTCAGTCCCGCCGGGTCTTACCAAGTTACCAGAGCTCAAAGTCCTCATATTAGCCTTCAACTCCGTCTCCGGTGAGTTGCCGTCAATATCCTCTCAACTCCTGCATCTGGATTTGAAGAACAACTTCCTCGCCGGACAGTTGCCGCCGTCGCTGCCGTCGCTGCCGTCATCCCTCCGTTATCTTTCGCTGTCAAATAATCGCATGTGGGGTCCACTCAGTGGCTTGGCACCACTCACTGAGTTAACGTTCCTTGACTTGGGCATGAATCAGTTTAGTGGGCCCGTACCGGACCCACTGTTCTTCATCCCCACACTCTCTTCACTCTTCTTGCAACGGAACAATCTATCAGGTGGGATCCCACCAACGGCTCAGGGAACGTTAATCTCGACGTCGCCATCGTACGGCCAGGGATCAATCGTTGACTTGAGCCACAATTTTTTGACCGGAGAGTTATCGACCGTTCTAAATGGGGTTGAGAGTCTGTTCTTGAATAATAACCGTCTGACGGGGACGGTGCCTGAGGAGTATTTTAGAAGCGTGAGCAGTGGTAGCACGAAAACATTATACCTTCAACATAACTACTTCACTGGGTTTCCACGCGTTAATGGGTTGCCTGATACGGCGTCATTGTGCTTGTCTTATAATTGTATGGTGCCACCGTTGTGGGGGGTGATGACGTGTCCGGCGAGCAGCGGTGGCCCCATGTCGAGGCCGACGGCTCAATGTTCAATGTTCAAAAACGGCAGCTCGAAAGGCTAAGACAGAGTTTGGTTTGCCGTTCACAAGCTTGAGTTGGTGGTTTATACTTTTAAAATTGTATCATCGAAAGAAATACATTAATTGATACTCGTACTAAATTTTTTTAATTAAATTACTGATACGTGTTTTACTTTTACATTTATATATATTTGTGTATAATTGCAAAATAGTGCTGCTTTTATACGCCAGCTCATGTTTCAATGAAAGTTATCAAATTTTATCTGCGTCAACTATTGCTTTCTCAAAATATGTGCCTCATAGCAAAAAAAAAAAAAAGTATTATAACTTTTGATTTGAATTATTCCATTTATATCCGAGTGGCTCAATTGAGTTACAACTTATATGTGTAATACAAAAAGCTAAAAATTAATTTGGATGCAACACTTGATTCCTTTGAGTTTTTTTTTGGGATACGATATAAATTTGTTCAAAAAGTTTTCACTCAAGAGTTTTAAGTATTTGAAAGTTTTTTAAGTTCAATATCACACCGAAAGTTTTAAAATCATAGTAATATTATTATGGTTATTATCTAAGTTAAGTTTAACTTTTAGTCAACCAATAAATTGAGTTGACAGATCCACATGTTAGTCACTTTGCTTTTTTAGATAAATGTGTAAATTTGTCCTAAATGTTTTTACTAAGGAGTGTTAGATATATGAATTTTATTCATTTAATGTCACTGTAGAAATTTTCAAATTATAATAATGTTGCTTGACCATTATCTAAATTAAATTTGATCATTACTGCCAAATATATTGAACTAGTAAGTGTATCCAAGAAAATCATTACTTCAATACTTATCAAGAATTTTGATGAGTTTTCTTTCTCTATCTTTAGTGTGTTTTCCACTCTACTTTTTTCACTTATAAAAAGCATCAAATTGTAGGGAGTCGCTTTGCTACAAGTCTTGGCCATTTCTTTGTGACAATCAATGAGTGAATTTCATCACCCACTGTGACGGAATAAAATTGGTTCTACTCTCACACATTGCGATAGGGACCTGGTGAGAATAGAGTGTCTGAAGGGAGGAGGATTTGGAGGACTCAGGGAGATGGAGCAGGAAAGTTCATCTAGAGGGAGAGGAATTCTTAGGGGAGGTTTTACTGAAGTCGCGAGTCGATGATTGGATGGAGAATGGTGCTACTCAATTTCCCCTAAATAGTATAGAGAGTCACTAATGAAGAATGTGAATTTGAAGGTTTGTTAGTAGGAGTGGTCTAGAGTCATCGATGATGAGGAGGCAGATGGCTATGGTGATGGTACTATTTTGAAAAGGTTCTTAATCCCAATAAAGGGATTCAAGTGGATATAAGCGACCCACTATGCTTGAAATTCTTCATTGATGAAAGGGAAAAAGAGAGATTACTGAGACCATTCAAAAATACACTAATTGTGAAGTTAATGGGGAGGAGGCCGAGCTATAGTTTTATGGCCCAAAAATTGAAACAGGTTTGGGCTAGAAAGGGAGAGGTTGAGGTCTTCGATTTAGAGAATGATTTCTACTTGGTAACTTTCCAATTGGTTGAAGATTACATGAAAGCACTCACGGGTGGCCCTTGGGTGCTTATGGATGCTTATTTGAACGTAGCTAGGTGGTGCCCTAAATTTGACCCAAAGAATGAGAAGATAGAATCAATCATAGCATGGGTAAGATTCCCTGACCTTCCTACACATCTCTTTGATAAAAAATTTCTGCTAAATTTAGGTAATGCTATTAGGAAGCCATAAGACTTGATATCCACACTACTCAGAGGGCTAGGGGAAAGTTTGCTAGAATGTGTGTGGAACTGAATCTAACTGAACCATTAGTACCTGAATTTACTGCTGATGAGCAAGTATTATCTATGGTCTATGAAAGTATTAATTTGCTATGCACTAAGTGTGGTTTATATGGTCATTTAAAGGACCAATGTGAGAAATTTCATGAGATGAAAAGTAATAAGGGGGATGAAGGTATAGAGTTGGTTAGAGAAGATGTTGGAAAAGAAACAAGTTCTACTGAGCTGTGGAAGATAGTGCACGGAACCAGAAGGCAAAAGAAAGTGATGCCTGAAGCTGAAAACCAACAAAAATCCTCTAGGTTTATGGTCTCAGGGGAGACAGAAGTGGAGGATAATAATGATGTGAATAAGAAGGATGATCATAGAAAAGTTTATGTGAATAAGGAGGATGATCATAGAGAAGTTTTAGGTGAGGTTATTAATGGCCAGCAGAGTGTTGATCCTAAGAAACAGTTTAAAAAGAAGAAAGATAAAGAAGTAGAGAAGGGGAGTAGTTTGAAATTTGAGATAATTGAAACTGGGCAGGTGAAGGAGTTAAAGTTGAAATTTAGTGAACAAAAAAAGAAGGCGGTGGAAAAAAAATTGTTAAAGGGAGCGTATCCTTCAAGGGTGCTACTGAGGAAGTTCCTGATTCAATCCTAAGTAGATTAGGGGGATAGGAGGTGGTGTTGTTGGAAAAGGAGAATATTGTGCTTTGAAAATGGTGGAAATGAGGAAGGAAAATATTAACCCAGGAGAACTAGTTACCAAAAATATCAATGAAGACCCTATTGAGTGCTCTGAGATGAATATGGATGTTAGAGTGATTACTCCAAAGCTAGATGTTGATTGATTTGCTGTTCTATAGCTGCTATTTGGCTTTCTTTAAATCTTTTAGCATGTTATTATGAAAGTGCTTATTTGGAATATCAGAGGAGTAGCTAGCAAAGGGTTTGCTATTGCTTTATAGAGTCTGAGACAAAGATACAAAATAGATGTGGTTGTGATTTTGGAGCCCAGAATCAGTGGAAGAGTGGTTGACAGAACTATTAGAGGTTGGGGCTTTCGTAATGTGCAAAAAGTTGAATCGGATGGCTACTCGGGTGGCATTTGGCTTATGTGGCTAGATAATACTTTAAAAGATGAAGTAGTAATCAAAGATACTCAATTTTTACATTGTAAATTGTATTCATGTAATGGGTCTTGGTTTTTCACAACTGTTTATGGAAATCCTCATGAAAATAGAAGATTGCAACTATGGGAAAACTAAATAATGTTGCAGAAGTGATGGTTGACCCTTGGTTAATTTTTGAGGATTTTAATGAAATAAAGTCCTCTCTAGAACGTAAGGGTGGCAGAAGAATTAATGAAAGGAAATATAGCAGATTTAATGAGTGGATACAAAGAAATAGTTTGATTGATGTAGAATAAAAAAAGTCTTTATTCACTTGGAGAGGGCCAAAATGGGAAGGGTTTGATAGGGTCTATAAAAGGTTGGATCATTGTCTAATTAACCAACAGTGGTAGAGGACATTAAGTGATGCTAAGTTCAAAGTTGGTGAGCGAATTTGCTCTGACCATCACCCCTTGATTATTGACCTGAATCCTTATTTCTATACTTATGGTCAAAGAGTATTCAGATTTTTAGCTACTTGGTAGATACATGATAGTTTTAAACCAATGTTAAAGGATAGTTGGAGAAGACCAAAGGAGGCTCACATGAGGCTAGGTTTGGTGGAGAATGATATAGAAGTTTGGAACAAGGAGGTTTTTGGCAGAATTGAGTATAAGAAAAAAAGAATATTGAATCAATTGTGTGGCATACAGAAGAGTGTTGATAGAAATGAGGATAGATATCTTATTCAACTTGAGAAAAAAAAATTAGAGGCTAAATAATTAAAACTATGAAGCAAGAAGAGTTATTTTAAAAGTCACATGAAAAATAGATTGAACATGGTGACCGCAATACTAGGAATTATCACACAAAAACTCTGATTTGTAGAGGGAGAAATAGAGTTAAAATGTTGAAAAATAATGAGGGTGTATGGATTGATGATGAGAAGGAAACTGTGCAGTTGTTCCGAGACTTTTATGGTAACCCGTTCAAAGAACATAGAGAAGACAAGGGCTAATTTGTCACATAGCAACAATAGGAAGAACTAAATGATGCAGATAGATGCAGATTAAATAATCCTCTTTATGTAGAGGAAATCAAGGAAGCTTTATTTCAAATGGGAAGCTTTATGGCACTGAGGGAAGATGGTTTCCCTGATTGTTTTATCAGTAAAATTGAGACATTGTAGGAGATGCTATCATTTCATTAGTAAAAGACTTTTGGTACAACCCTGCGAGGCTAAAGGAGATTAATAAAACACTGTTAGTGCTAATCCCAAAGATTGAGCACCCGAAATTAGTAAGTCAATTTAGACCAATTTCACTTTGCAATGTCCTCTATAAAGGGATAACTAAAGTGATTGTGAATAGACTAAAGCCTCTTATCAATAAGCTGATTTCTCCTTATCAAGTTAGCTTTATTCCTAAACATAGTATACAAGATAATATTATGATTACTAAAGAGTGGTTCATACTATGAGTAAATTGAAAGTTATGAAAAGTTAAATTGAAAGTTATGAAAAGTTACATGGCAATAAAAATTAACCAAGAAAAGGCGTATGGTCATATGTCTTGGAATTTTATGAAAAATGTTCTTAAGGAAATTGGAGTGAATGACCATTTGTGCATATTGATTATGAAATGTATAAGCACCTCCAAATTAGCTATTATGTGGAATGGAACTAAGAATGATGAGTTCACTCCCTCTAGAGGTTTAAGATAAGGAGATCCTCTATCACCTTATCCTTTTGTCTTAGGGAATAGAACAATTGACCTGTATGATGATGGATAGGGTTAATTGTAAAGTTTGGCAGCCTTTGAAGTTAGAGAAAAGAGGTGTTGAGATTTCTCATTTGATTTTTGCGGATGACTGCTTGTTATTTTGTGAGGCTTCCATTAATCAAGTGGTTAATGTGATGGAGGCTTTAGAAGAGTTTGGCATGCTATCTGGACAAAAAATAAATGCTAAAAAAATGAGTATTTATTTCTCCAAAAACACTGATAGAGTTGTACATAATACTATTTGTAGTATGATAGGTTTTGGAAGAATGGAAGACTTTAGAAGATACTTGAGTGCTTATATTACCCAAGGAAGAAGTTAGAAAAGTAAGTTTCGGTTTCTAATTGATAAAATGTAGAGCAAGTTAAATGCTTGGAAAAAAAACAAACACTATCTTGGCAGGATTACTCTTGTGAAGTCAATCACAAGCCAAATGGCAATCCATCACATGCAGCATTCATATATTCTTGTGGGTGTAAGGAAGTAGCTAGAAAGAATCCAAAGAGATTTTATATGAAAAAGTGAAGAGGGGAAGAGGAAGTTTCATGCCATAAGCTGGAATATGATGTGTTCTTCG